GGCCCCGCAGGCGGGCGTTTGTCACCCCAAAAGTAAATAAATGAATAAATAAATAGGGGATGTCGCTCACTGCCCCACGGGCCGGGGTCTGGTGGGGGGCTGTGTTTTTGTCTCCACCGCGGTGATGCGCAGGACCTGGTGGAGGCACAAATCACGAGGGGCGCGTTGCGCGTACCGGACGAGTGGAGCTCGCTGAGCAGCTCTAAGAAAACTTTCCGAGCAGCCTAGAAAGAGGTTCATCTAAAATAAGCTAGTAAACTTTTTGGGATTTTGGGGAATTATCCAGAGGGAAGCATCTTCTCCATATGTACAATAAATAGCTTCTGTTTGACCCGCGTTATGTACCAGTTTGTTACTTAAGAGTGCATTGAAGTTCTGATTATATCATTGTTTTCATTCCCTGAACACAGAGGGGGAAAAAATCTCCTGAAATTACTGTGGGCTTGATTTTTTTTCCTCCTAGTATTCCTCACAGTGCTGGAGGAAACATAATTTTTACATACCTGCATATATCATATTGTAAATGGAAATGCAGACTGACATCTCCCTGGTTCTTCCAGTGTGTTTTGACATTTAATGTTAAGGTGGGCTGCCCATCTAAAGAATATGTCCCATTTTCTTTTGAAAACACATGTGTTTATGTTACCAAATGTTCTTCAGTAAATTGTAATACGATTAAAAAACAAATATGTTGACTAATCTTTGGTGTATCTTTGTTCAGATAATGAGTATGCAGTTATAAATTGCTACGTATATTTGGTTGCCTTGCTAATAAATCGAGTTGAGGGTTACCCTTGCAGGATTTGTATTTATTAATGGCTCCACAACTCCTTGCAAGAGAAATTTATTCTGCTGTATAGATACTGCCAATGGGATAGATAAATTCTAAATTGGGAATGTAATGAGCACAAACCTGTCATCTGTTTAGCAGTTCCCAGTTAAAATGTGTTGAAAAAGGCAACTAGAAATACAGCTATAGATAGTATCCTGTTGCATATTTTTAGCCTCTGATGCAAGCTATGAAAGTTACTGTTGAAACTTTATGCAACTTTTGTATAACGCACTTCTACGTTTTAGACCTAGCATTAAGCAACGTTAAACATTGGAATCTAGGATGGGAAGCTACCTGTCCGATTCCTTGGTGAACGATGGTGTTGAATGATGGTCTGCGAAATTTTCAAGGGATCTTATTTACTTTTTTTTTTTTTCCTCCAATAAATATGGAAGTTAATTCAGAAAGAAAAAAGTATATCCTAGAATTTGTGTGACAAACACTGCAGAATGCAGCTTTTTTTTTAAAATGTTATCTTTTTTGAAAGTAGGTTTTATGAAGTCCGGGTAAAACAGGTCTCCCATTTTATAAGGCGAGTTTATTCAGCATAGTTCTATATTGCAGCTGCTGATCATATTTCATAGAGCTGTTAAAGCACTTAAAACCTAAAATTAGGTACTGTCTGGTAGTAAATATTTCAAATCACTCCTTGAAGAAATAAATAAAGAGTAGACTTTAAAAAACAAGACATCTGAAATCTGTTGTTGAACAAAAGTAATCTTGCTGCCCTTTTACTCGAAATAATACAACTATAAACTAACTCATTGATTCAACAGGGTGAATTTTTCCTTAAGTTTATCTCCTGTGCTTTTATTGAAATTTTAAAGTGACTGTATTTGATATCATGATATTTTGTTCAAGCAATGCTCACTGTGGCAATGGTTATTAATATGTATCAAATTAACTTGTAACACACCTGTACTTGCAGTGACTGATCTTACAATATTAAGAACCAAAATGTAAGTTCCGTTGCTTCTTGGCATGAATGCTTTTGTACAGCTCTTAATTATAAACGGTGTAAGGCGCTCTCTTTTTTTTTTTTTCCTAGTGTTATGATGAACATAACTCTAAAAAGATAGGTATTCTCTTTACAGATAAGTATTTATAATAAGCAATTTTAGTTTATTTTTCTATTTTTTTTCCCGTGAACATGTTAGTAATTTTCTCATTATTGTTTATTTTACTATTACTATAATTTGCAAGAAGAATGCAAACACAGAGCATCAGAATAACAGCCATCTGTCAAGTTTATCAAGCGTATTTGAAGTGTTTTAAAAATCAGCACTAAACCAGGTCTAGTAGCAGAAACATAAGATACTTTAGGTTTTACTTTGTACTTGAGAATCCAATGTAACTTCAGTTATCATCAGAATAACAGTGTTTACATTGCACAAATGGAAGAAGAGTCATCATTTAACCGTTTAAGTAAACTTTTAATATGTACTATTAAAAGTAATTTTACTGTAGGTTTTCCTTTTTTAGATTTAAATATTGTGTAAATGTGTGTCCAACTGTAACCTTTTCTGTCATTGAAAAGTGCTAATTGATCTTGCTGGCCCTGACATAATAGTATAGTTTGATATTTGAAACCTTTCAGCTTTGGCATGGCCCTTTAATCACCCCTGAGATTTCAGGGCATGGTTCTACTGAAGGCATAAGACTGCTACTCTTTTTAAAAACTAAATAAAAGTGGTTGTTAAAAATAAATCATCTTTGCTTCCTTTTAGATTTCGTGGGCATTTTATCCATTTATGCCCTTCAGTTTACATAAACATTAAAACTTTTTTTTTTTTTTTTTAACTCGTATATGTTATGTGATATTTTAGATGTTGCTGTATAGGAATCAGATTTTTATGAAATAATTTCTTTTGGCCAAGTCCACACTTCTCTTTTGCACTGTCATTAATTTGTCATTAAATCAGATGTGCTTAAAGAAATTTGGATCCCATTTGCAGCATGAAAGCTCAGATATGTATTGTTTTATCTGACAAGAGTAACATTTATTTGAAGGCCAGTAATATTTACACATTTTTGCAGCTATAGATTGTAATACTGCCAGAAAGATTTCCTATGGCATGCCTATAATAGGGGACCCTAGTGAAAAATATTTTAGAGCACCTTATAACCTTAGTCTTCTAACCTGAGTAATGTGTCAAATAGGTGGCCCACCTTTTGCTTCAATGTTTAACAGTAAAATTACTTTGATGATTGATTATTCAATAACAAAATGCTTCCCTGGACTTTTGCATTCATATGACTGTATATATGCAAGTTTTCAGATTTTTAAGCCATATGTCAAATCAAAATAGCATTTGAGGAAAACTGAAGTTAAGCATTTTATTTCCAACTTGTTTAAAGCTTATGTGCAATAAGAGTGATTATGCTACTGTCTTCACAGAGGTGAATTTACAGAGGTCTGTATACCAGCGAGACCAGTATGTATTTTGTCTTAAGCTCAGGTATTAGACATTAAACTTGGATTTAGACTGTAACTACCATGGTTTTGAGAGAAGGATTTTGGAGGATTTCTCTGCCTAAATACCTTTGGTGATTGGTGTCCCTTTCCTAGAATAAAATGAATAACTGTGATGATTGTGCACGAAGCTGCAGTGCTCAGACGTACAGGGCAGTGTACTACGCTGCAGCATCAGGGTAGAGTTGTTGGGTTGGGTGTGAGTGCTGTTTCTGCAGAAGTCTCTATGCCTGGTGTGACTGAGTGCGGTGTCTCCGTGCTGGCGTTGTTGCCTCATATTGTGGCTGGACTGTGCAGTTCGAATAATTTGGAGCAGGCAATTGCAAAAAGACCTCCCAAAGCCACCTGCAAAATTCTCACATAGCAACGACCAACTTTCATGTATGTGATAACTCTTTACCTACTTATGTAAGTTAATACATATTAGACTTTTGGCAACATTAAAATTTCTTACTATTTTGACATGACCCCGTATAAGTTGACACTGTCAGCAGTATAAAGAATTACTGCTTGCTTTTTTTTTTTTTTTTTAAATTGGGTTGACGCAGCAAGTATGTATTCAGCTC